CCTCAGTGGCCACCCTTGGGTACCAGCACGGGCTGAATTGGAGAGGTACCTTGGTAGGGCAACATAGCCAACCATATACCGCGTACCTTAAAAGATGCTTGATTAAAGGTCAGATGCAGGACAAAGCATGAGAGCCGAGATTACTCCTGTCAAATGCTCCAAGCACATAAATAACATTCTAGACCATCCATTTGTTTCCAGAATCCGGCAACCCAGTTGCCAAGGTGGCACTCCACTTTTCTGGATACCTTTTCCTGATGTTGTTGTGCGTGGCTGGGAAGTCATGATTCAGACTTGGGTATCCACTCATTTTCCAAGCTCACATTCAGATACGGAGTAGTGGATCAGCTTCCATTCTTAGGCCTCATCTGCTTGATTGAGATCGGACACCCCAAAGTATTTACCTTAGGAAGGGAGCCCAGGTATATCAAACGGTATGTAACGATTTGGAATCAGTATCACCTGCAGACTGTTGGCCCCACAAAATCCAATGAGAGTCTTCACATCGTAGTCCGTGCTCCTTTCTTGGACGCTGAGTTGCTTGGAAATCAACGGGATGACACGGTACATCCTATTTTCCAGTACCATATGTAAGGTAAGTTTTGTAATTAGATGCAAATTATGTATTTAAAAAGCAATGCGAATAGTGAAATTGCTTTTCAAAATATTCAGTCTACATTATTCGTTCAGAGCTCGTACACCTACGGAGCACCTTACGTATGCCCGATTTCTCAAACTTGTGGCTGGTGAATGAAATGACGCGGCCGATGGATAAGGTATGTCTGTCAATTGTCCATGGTGCCATACCGACTATGTAGTCTGTAAGAAAATTGATATCTATGAATTCTTTCGAAGTACGCAGTAGTCAGATAGTGACATGGCTGCGTCCAAGCATGTCAGGAAGATTATAATTTCAATGTACCTGAAAAAAATAGCGATTCTCATTAGTAGGTAGGTAAATAGACCTCATGTAACAGCATGTGTAGCAAGCATTGACCATTATATAAACGTGTACGGCAGCAATGCGAGGCCCATTGCTCCTATGGTTTTTACCCAGAGCAGGGTACCATCTACCTTGATGAAGATATACTAACACAGTTCTTGCTGGGATGCATTATCTACAGATCGTCTGATGTTGTTGAAGCTCGAAACAAACACACTGACTGATCTTTGATCTGATGTTCTTTTAAAATTATTGTATGGACGAGAAGTACTGTTTAGACAGGCACTTAGATTGATAGACAGTGCCTGATGCTATCTCAGACTCAAAGCAACCTTATTATGACAGGAAACTTAAATGGCATCTGTATCTCAGTGCCAGTACCAGCAAACATTACCGCATCATGAAGGCTGAACATACCCATTTTGGAGCATCTACAAAAATCTTCATAATAATCAGACACATCTTGTCGTACTTATTTCTTTAGGAGACAAAATCACAACCCCTTCTCATAAGAAAAATGCTGTCGCGGACTCCCAGGTCTGGCCAGCAGAGCTCCACTAGTCCACTGCCGTGTGGGTAGGATGCTATGGTAGGCACTAGGTATATCAATTCCTCTCATAGATAACTATCCATGAATGTAGCCTCAATTTCATTCTCCAGCACGGAGTTCGAATTGCAAGGTGATCAGCTTGTCTGCTATGGACTCTTGTTTCTTTCTATCTGAGCTTCAGGATTGGGCTGAAATAGCAAATTACTGTAGCAAGTGACCAACTTACGCAAGTATTTCTGTCTTCCTGGGATTCATTTTAGAGGCTGCTTTAAGTGCTTTTTGTGGAACCCGTATGGATCCACTTATCCTGTCACAATTTAGGTCATTGTTTTTGTTTACAAAGTAACTATACCTACTTAGGTAAGGTACCTACTGCATTCCTGTTATTTTACAAAGCATGGTAAGATATATTTGCATCTCAATGGTCCAACTTTCTAATATCGTACCACTTTGTATTGATTATCTATTATTTATTATTATTCTTATCGTTATTTTTAAGTTTGGAGACTACCTAGTGGACAAGATCCCGGTCTACAAAGTACTAAATACTTGCTTCCTAAGTTCCCAGTTTCCATTGCAGGACGTAAATTAATTCACCCGACCAACTCGCAACCTTATCATTGTTCGGTCCTGTTCGACTCTCCCGCTGTCAAACCACATCCTCCTTCTGCCTCATCCATCCCACTCCCTTTCTGATATCCTGTTTCTTTTGACATCCGGGATTTCCACTCGCTTCTTCTCTGCCTGTCTCTCGTTCTAGCTCCTCCTACTTTCCCGGTCGCTCGACATTCACTCTCTGGCTCCATGCCTAGGAGCCTCTCATCGGCTTCGGTTCTGCCAAATGCCTCGTTGTGAGCCCCGTCACACGGAAAAGCAGGTTTAAGTTCAAGCTGAATTCTTCTGCTTAGAGGCTCTCCAGCTTCAATTTAAATTAATCTGGTAAGTGACTCCCTGACTGAACTTGCACTTTTTCTTTTCTCTAGGTGCCATAAAAACCCTGGCTCATGCTGGACCCGCACGACTAAACTACTCTTAGGTACCAGAGGTTATCCATATATCTACGGGACTGGGGAGGGTCGTTGAATAGCCGACTATTGCACTCTCTGAGGTGTCGGACTTATTTCGACATTATTCACCCACGGAGCAGATGCTCTTAGCGTCTTATAGCTTACCGTAAACGCTTCGTCGATCTAACGATTATTCTATTCCACCTGCCGACCATCAACTACAGGATCCCTTGGGGACAGGCCCAGGTGCACGTCGAGCATAATTAAGGGTGGGATCGTTAAAGGGATTGCACAGTTTCAGAAGCCTCCCGAATTAGGGGTGTACACGGACAGGACACAAAAGCAGGGGGTGGAATACTATATCTCCTAATCTGCACTTGCCAAGATTTCGCCATGGTTCTCGACTTGAGTCTTCTGCTGTTTGCTTTACTTGCATCGCCAGTTGCTTCCGCTATCACCTACTGCTCTTCCGTGAACACTGGTTCCTCGTTCTCTGCCAGTAGGTAGCCCTGACCACCTCTCTCTGCCATCAAGTGGTATCTGATCTTTTTCTCCTTACAGACATCAGCATTTATCAGTCGAATGGACTCTGCACGGACACCTGCAATGCTGATTATGCCTTCGCAATCCTCCAGGGTAAAGAATGCTGGTGCTCGAACATAGCACCCAACAAAGCTACGAACACCGACATTTCCGATTGTGCCGTAGGATGTCCGGGATATCCGACAGACAGCTGTGGAGATGCCTCTAAGGGCCTGTATGCTTATATTCAGATGTCTGTACATAATCCTTCGGGCACAGCAGCTGCTCCATCCTCGACAGACTCGACAAAGTCCACGGTCAGTAGCCTTTGCCTCGAACTTCGTCCCCACGCGACTCATTTATTGCCAACCGCCCCAAGGAGCCATTGAACTCTGATTGCTAACGCCACTGTAGTCCGACAAATCCAAAACAGAGACCACTGACTCTAAAACAACTACCACAGCACCTACAACTACTCAAAATACTGTTTCGATTCAGACTGTTGCTGGTGTTGTGAAGACTATAACAGTCTCGGATACGGAACCCACTGCGACACCGACCTCACCCTTGTCGGATTCACAAAATGGAGGCTCTGGAGTTTCGGGCGGGACTATTGCAGGCGCTGTTGTTGGCGCTGTCGGTGGCTTAGCGGCAATCGTCGCGATTATCTTCTTCGTCCTCGCATCCAAACGTCGCTCGCGAGCCCAGAGCCCCGATCCGAGCGTTTCGAACGTTCTCCTCGACGGGAGACAAAGCAAGGGCTCTCAGATGAGTTTCGTGAAGGGCATGTTCTCTGATGGGCACAGTCACACATTGTCCGCCGGATCGACGATAACACCCCAACGTATGCCAACTTTCACTGATAACCGCTTGAAAACGGACACTGTACTTTATGGGAACGGGCGTCGGGATAGCGACGTGTCGCTCCAGGATAATGAAGATTACTCGCGTCCGGTGCTGCGGGTTAGTATTTTCCCAGTCGTGCACGCCTTGACGAGTTTGGTACTGATACATCTTTCATAGCTGACCAACCCCGATTAAACACGGGATCTGTGCACACGAATTTCTTTGCTTTCTGCATCTTGGAATCTCCTTATCTTGTGAATTCGACTTGTGCAACTCTGCGAAATCAGCGGTCTTATGATACCCAACTGTCACATAATCCTTCTTTTCTTCCTTGCATTTGAAGCATCGGCCTTCCTTCGGTCTTAATGACTGCAAGCTCCGGGGCATACAACACGTCCATGGCTGCGCGAATCCGAACACCAGTGGAGCATTTGCGAGTACATGAACGATAGTCAAGTCCTCCTGATTGGGGTATATTTTCATTTCTCAATGAGATACGATCCTCATTTCCAGCCTACGTTCTCTTTTGAGATTCGCTTTGTTTTGTTACCACTGAACATTGTGTACTTTGTACACTAGAAACCGCATGGCAGCTGTGTTAATGGTGGGAGTACATAATGGGTTTCAGACTGCCAATCTTGACGTTAGTGTCATCACTAATCCCCCGGGGAACCCTCCTCTGCTCGTCTTATTGTTTGAGTGCATTTCTCATCCGTCAGATCTCACGAATTTCCTTCAGTTCCTTGTCCAAATAGAATTGTGAGCTGGATGAAATACAAAGTAATTGAGACTACAAGTTCTCAGGGAGAGACTGATCTGTAATAGGTCTACTGTATTACTCTTGCAATGGGACTAGGCACGCCCATTCCATGCTATATAATATATATCATTGCAGAAAATATCTCCCAGAAGCTTGTAGCTAGCAGATCTGTCTGTTCAAACAAAAGCAAAAAATGAGGCAAATTAGACTAAACCGAACCAACGCCGTCCAAAGAACCCACAAGCCATGTTCCAACCATTCCCAGTCCCAGACACCTGAGATCAGCAAGCACCGTCTGGCAAGCATAGGCACTGGATAGTACATACCTTCCATCGACGTATTTGACCCGAACAATTCTATGCTCATCACAAACTAGATGAGAGAGGATCTGTTAGCTGCCTTCCGCAAGAGATATTTCAAGACAGCGGGCGAATCCAGTGCAAGATGCGCAGGCGCCCTACCACCATTGTCCGTCTCGGTGACGTCCGCATTGCCCTGCTCGACGAGAATTCTCACGACCTTCAGCCAGCCGGCTTTGGCCGCAAGATGCAGAGGAGTCAAGCCTCCAGGACCCAGCGCGTTGACATCGACTGTACTCCTGGAGAGCAGCAGACGGACGACGCCCGGCATGCGCTTGCGCAACCAGTAGTGGTCGTTCTGGCGCACCGCATGGTGCAGCTCCGTAAGGCCCCGTTGATCGGGGATACCGACCTGGATCCCATGCTCGAGCAGCGCGGTGGCGATTGACAGACTTCTTTCCACGATTTCGCGGCCAACGTATTCCATTAATTGGTGAACTGCCCGATGACTGAATTCGAGGGCGGCGTGGAGGACGGTTCTGCCGGCGTGGTCCCTAATGTTGATGTCAATACCGGCTGTGATGAGGATTTTTGCGAGTTCGGCACTGCCTTCGTGGAGGGCAGACCAGAGAGCTGTCTTGCCGCTTGTCGACTGGGAGGAAAGCAGCTCAGGGTATTTTCCAGCGAGGAATTCAAGGACATCTGGGTGGTCGGTATTCGTCGCAGCATAATGGATCATGGTTCTGCCATCAGGGTTGATTTGACTAAAGTCTGCACCTTTGTCAATGGCGGCTTTGACGATGTCTAGACTGCAACGACTTGCAAGGCTAGCGTGGGCGGTGATGTCGCCTGCGATGTCAACACCGGCTATGATGAGAATTCTGACGAGTTCAGGGCTGCCGTTATAGATGGCTGACCAGAGAAATGTGCTGGAAGACTGGGAGGAAAGCAGCTCAGGGTACCTTCCAACGAGGAATTGAAGGACATCTGGGTGGTCAGTATTTTTCGCAGCGTGGTGGATCACCGTAGTTTGTCTAAAGTCTGCGCCTTTGTCAATGGCGAGTTTGATAACGTCCAGATTGCAACGACCAGCGAGGGCGTGTATGACCGTTACCTGAGTATAGTCGGCTCCAATGCTGATCAGCTTCTTGACCATCTCATCGCCCATTTTTGTTGCGTCACAAACAGGCGAGGTATATGGCGCGCACACGTCGTTCAAAGCAGGGTTAGCACCGTGCTCGAGCAGAAGGTCCACGATTGGCTCGTCATTGGCGCGAACTGCCAGTGAGAGCATGCGACATCCGTCCAAGTCATATGCGTTCGGGTCGACACCTGCTTCTAGATAGTTTCTTACCTTGTTGAGTTGACGACGTTTGATGGCTTGGACGAGCGGCTGGGAAGGAACTTCGCGCGTCCGTTTGCGAGTAAGAATACCCTTCCCATCCTCTTGGAATCTGATCCGCTGTTTGTACTCAGCTTCATCAGGGAGGGCATGCTGCTTGGCAGCTCTGGCCAGGGGACGTTGCAACTTACCGTTGAGCCTCCGGGAGGTTTGGCCGAGACTGGCCACTGATAGAGGATTCAGGTGGTCAGAGATGGCCAGGAGGAGTTCCATAGGCAACTGCTCAATCTGCGACATTTTGCTTAGGAGTTGCTTTCTGCTTGAAATAAGTCAATAGAGGTGGTCAACTGCGCGGATTGTACAGAGTATCTTTGGATGATTGCTGAAGGGTTGAAGTGTCGAGCGATATGTTGGTTGGAAAAGACATGGCACATCTGTGGGCTTTCGCACTTGCTTTATATTCTCCCAGTAAGACATCCTAATGTATTCTCTGCGTTCTGCACGACTATTGAGACAATAACTTTGTGGAAACAGTAGAGGGTTCTGAGATACTTGACAAAGATTCTTAGAGACATTGTTCATTGATGCACGCTATGGGAGGCCCAGAATGAAAGACCTTCAAGGGAGGTGCAAGACTGTCCGTCTCGCAAACTAGATTTCTCAATGGCGAAAACTTTTCCTCAACGGCGAGGATGAAACTCGAGCAATGACCGAAAGAAAGACATTGTCCTTTGATCTTCTTCGAGACAACCCTTGCCCGTTGAACAAAGAGACTGTCAATGGCCTTGTATATGTTCCAGGACCAGAATGGAAAGGAAGCCTGAAACCAACGGAAGGAGATGTCTCTCAAGAGTATCGAAGGCTTCGACAATAGCCGCAGCATCACAAAGGTGACCAAAAAGTCGACCTTCATTCTTGAAGGTGAGTCTGATAATCAATGTCCCTCTTCCGTCATCAAGGAGTGGGCTGAAAGAGAGAGCGTGTCTCTATTGTAAATGAATGGATTTATGTGAAAGTCCAGGCAAGACAAAGGCCAATAGCTCACAAAGCCATTGTCGGTAAAAAGCGATAGATGATGATGCTGAAGACGAAAGGGCAGAAACAATGCAAACAAAGCACATGACTTACCGGGACAGTTTTGCCCGATTGGGAAACGCGGATCGAGTGATCCAAGAAGATGCTTCGAGCGAATACAGTCTGTTATCCATCGATCCGCTGGCCTTCCCCGCTCCCGGCCTCGGATCTTGAGATGTATGTGTAATTCTACCCTTACAACGGTGATATCATGAATGATATCGAAGAGTTGAAGACTCACCATGAGATCTCGACGATCGCTGGCATCTTTTGAGATATAACAGTAGATGAAACGAAAACTCGTTGTCTAGTTTTGGCACCATCCTGACGCTGGATGCGAGGAAGCCGGATGGTTCTACAACATGCGCAGCGGCATGCTGAAAGCTCAGTTCGTTCCCTGCCACTGCTACAACAAGGCTGAGTGGTCAACGCTAACGTGTCGCAGTACACTATAAGAAATCAGATCCGAAGGTTTATTTTCACCAATGCTATGGTCTTATCATGTTGCTCCAGCTTCGTCCTTATCTGATATCTGCTTCTCCGCACCAAACGTAGTAAGTTCAAGCAGGCCACGATAGAGCATATCTTTGGAAACTCGGGGGTCCAGAGGAGTCCTGCTCGATCACACTTCTCGTTGATTGCTTTTCTTATACCGCAGAACACCCCCTTGCACATATAATCGCTTCATGAGCCCTGAGGCGGGTTTTGTTCTTGCCGAACAGGCGTAGCCACATCTTGTATGTCCTTTTTCATTTATATACTGCTTCACGAGACACATGAGAATGCAGATACTCGGTATGCTCGGTGACTGGTGGTTGTCTGGTCTGGCCGTGATTGCGCTCGTTGGGCTTCACATCACCTTCGATCAATCCAGACGCAGGAAAGTCTGGCGGGGAATAAGTCTTCGGAGCCGCAAAACGTCAGCTGCTGGAACGCCTCCAAGATCCGTGTCACCGGATAAGAAGCCGGTGATCGGGTCCGCGTCCCAAGTAAACTATGCCGATGTTTTACCACCACAGCGTCGGCAGGCCCTCGCTGCCTTGCCAGAGAGCTCGGCACAGTTGGAAGAGATTGACAAAGCCGGAGTCAGACAATACATTCTGCCGATGACAATGGATTACCGAAATTGCCAAGAACAAATGTATACTCCGACAGGGTTCTCAACAGAAGAGATCAAAAAGTTAGGAGACTTCCCGGACTATGCAGCCCTAAGTGGTGTGCCTCTGCCCCAGCCATACCATAAGTTTGTCATTGACAAGGCCCTACCGAGACCATATCGTCCGTTCCGTTGGACATACCATCAAACCATGTGTAAGCCTGCCTGACCAGCACCAAACCGTCCATTAGAACGCCCCCACAAGCAGATTTAGGAGCTGACAGTCATCATTTCTCCTGCGTATAGCACTAACGAAAATGGAAACGGACTGGTGGATTGAGCTCGAATCCACTTACAAAACTCGAATCGCGCAACGCAAGGAATTATACGCCAAACACGGCTCATCAGTCCTCGGCTATCTTCCAGGCTCTGAATTAGCCTGCAAGGAATTGATGGAAATGGTCTTGCAGTTTCTGTGCGCCCGGTATCCTCAGTACTTCTCGCTAGAGAGCAAGAGGATATTCAAGAACAGAATCCTCGACACCGAGCAAGACATCAAAGCCAAACATCCTTTGGAGATCCTCCTCGACAATGTGCCCGAAGACTTTGCGATCATGCTGCGCGATGAGGAGACAGGCTTCTATTTCCTCCGCGCGGCAGTGGTTTGCTCTGCTCTGGGATGGAATGTTGGACTGAAAATAGGACTTCAGCTCCATCAAATCCATGGGGAGATCCCGGACTATAAGGAAAAGATGCAGTTCTCTATGGATCGGTAGGTCCAGGGAATAAAGAGAGCGGCAAGCCCAAGAGGTCGCTGACAAGTCCTCCGCTAGGTTCTTCGCCAAAATGCCAACAGACAAACCAATCCAGAGAGGGTCCTGGGGTCTAGAAGTCGGACAGCCTTTGTATATGCCCCCGGGGGATCCTCACGAGAAACTTCGTCTGTCTCAAGACCCTAGCCTGCAGTTGGCCGATTGCAATCTGCGAGTGGATTGGCAGACACTGAGACGTCTGCCTCTGTCGGCAGCGGTCGTCTTCAATTTCAAGGCACTATTCACGCCCGTGTCCGAATTCTGTGATGAACCATGCATACCAGCCTTGATAGCCAAGATCCTCAAAGAAGGAAAAGAAAATCTCATGAAATATAAGAATACATGGCATGTGGAGCATGTCGTGCTTCCGAAGCTTGAGGAATGGGCTAAGGAGCAGGAGGATAAAGGTCTCGTAGACAAAAATTGGCAAGTGGCTACATTGGACGAGAGCCCTTGGTTCAGGAACTGGGAGGACAAGTGGCATCGCCAGCAAGGGTTTTGATTAGTTTGTTTGAAGTGGTCCAAATGATGTTCTCGGTGCTTCTGTATAATCTTTATTATCAATGGAGACCAAGTTGCTTCTAGTTATACACATACCTACAACAAACAAGAACGTAACCTACATGATATGTAGAGTCAAGGGTATATTGAATCAAGGATATCCGCCATTCTGCACCAAGATCATCAACCTGGTGGCGGTTTGGTGAGGTTCGTCATAGACTTCTGCACTCAATCAGAGGTCGTTATTTTGCCCAGGAAGTTCCAGCAACACCACATATTGACTGTGCTTCCTTAAAGCTTCGACTGTGACTCTGGATAGCTTCAATAGGCACCTGGCAACGAGGATGCCTTGAGCCGCTTGCTAACGAGACGACGTCCGCCCTGTCTAGCTCGCGCCACTCAGTGGTGGGAATACGCAGGAGCTGAATCCCCAACGGGATGCGCATCAGTCATACATTGAGGGACAATGGCGGCCAATAATCGTAGAGTGTCAAAATTTTCGAGCTGCCGATTATGGCGCCCAGTGACCCGCTCACTCGTCCCCAGCGGCCCCGTTAGACCGTGACTCGCTATCGTCGCTGCCTTGATCGCTCTCCTTATCCAACTCTTCCAGTTCGTCCGCCAGAGGACTGATGCGCTCTTCCAACAAATCCAGATCCTCCAACTGCTGCCGTGCCGGTAACTTCCAAAGACTAGTACCGCACACACGGTCCTTCGTCAGAAGATCGTCGACAAATTGATCCATATATGTAAGCACAAATGTGTCGCGTACTCGTCGCTTCAGCTTCCGGTAGTCGAGAAGGAGAGGTTCCAGTGTCTTGTAGACGTCGACCGGGTCAAAGGTCAGACGCACGTAGAACGCCGCCAGGGCGCGGAGGTATTTGAAGTCCCCCCGTTGTCCAAGCACACCATTTCGAGCCTGCTCCTCTGCCGTGGCCTCTGTCTCTTCGTCACTGCCCGGATCGGTGTAGTTGAGATATTCCAAGATGATTTCACGCTCGGGGTTGAGTTGCAGCAACTTGAACGCAAGACAGAGAAACGGAGTGGGTTTCTCGGCGACACCATATGTACCACCGATAGATGTCAGTTCGACCGCGCGATCGCAAAGTGTCGCCGCGTTTAAACCGAAGCACTGTTCTTTCCAGTAATATGAGTCTGTAATGCGGTCGCGAACGGCTTTCTCGAACAATGTGGCGGGGTTGACACCGCGGACTAGGGGTCCTGAATAGCCACGATTGTCCAGGAGGGTACTCGCATCAGCACGATGGGACGACATGTTGAAAAGGATCGGAAAATCCCGACTGTGGACGCGACTTCAAAGGTTGTCCGCGAAGAAAAAGACGAAAGTTTGATGAAAAGCAGGAAGATCAACTGTGGCTGACAGGGTGTGGCGCGGAGGCTGTGCCAAGACGGACTCTTATCGATAGTCGCTCCGACAACCAGCCCAAAGGTAAGCGGAGGCGCTGGTGATGCAACATGTCTCAGGTCTGCTATTAGCAGGTTTGGTGGCTTCAAATTACAGACCTTTTATCAAAAGATGATCATGCTATATAAGTTAATTGTGTGTTGTGGTGACTTGTAGTCGTGTGTGGCTCAATTCATGCGTCGCTGTCTTTCGTGCATCTCAGGAACATCAACACATATTACCATGCGCACTTCAAGTTACACACAATCATGGTGCTTCTGACCTCCTCAACAGTCTCAGTCATTCTCTCCACCGGTGTGGTCTGCCTATTTACTCTTCTCCTTTTTCTGTCCGGCTACGTCCTTCAGCAGCAGTCTGTCAGAAGTATCCAGAGTGCTCTTCGGCCTCCTGGGGTTCCAGACCCAATCACCGGCCACGGATCAGCAGGGTCGTCATTTCAAAAACGGGAGCAGAGTATTCTGTCGGATCTGATTCCTGAGGAGCAGCAAAAACATGTCGTCCATCATGCGCAGCCTGGAGCAGGAGGCAACTACGCATATCTGCAACTCCTGTCTTCCCCCAATCCATCTGATATCTGCTCCGCAATCCTCTTCTTCAAACAACTCGCCACAAACGGCACAGCAATCAACGACCGGTTATTCATGTATCCCCGGGAATGGGATCTGCTGTCATCAGACAAGGTCTCGGACTCTGTCAGAACAGCTCTTTCTCTGCTCCGAGCCGCAAGCATCAAGTACAACGTCTGGCTTCTCCCCATCGACATGACGGCAGCGACCTCTGCAGGCTACGAACCGACAGATACCAAGCTTCTTCGTCTAGGCCAGATCCAGTTCATGCAGTACGACAGTGTACTGTATGTTCGAACACCGGGTCTGTTGCTCGACACTGGCAAGCTAGACGAGATGCTCCTCTCCCGGCCATTGCCCCTGAAATATGACAAGGATCGTCCCGAGTCCTTCAATAATGAAGCATGGATTCCCATGCCTCTTAGGGCGGATCGTGATGCTATTCTTCCGCCAGTGTACCTGATCACAGTCAACAACGTGAAGAACGGACAGATTGAGGCGCGAGGCCATATCCCTAATGTGGCTCTCCCGGGCTTTGGGGGTCTGGTCACCAGCCCCAGGGGTGTTCACACACTTGAGGATAAGGGTAATGATCCTGCTGATGAGCCAGGATATGTCTTCTTTGAACAGGATGGGGAAGGTCACGTTCAGTGGGCGCAGAATCCGCTGTTCGGTGCCTGGAGAGCACAGCAACATGAAGTTTGCGAAGGCGTCGACTTTGATGAAATCGCTCATGATCATGATCAGCAATGTTTTTCTTACGACCGTTCTTGTGACCATCTTGCGTGCTCTTGGTTTGGTTCTTGGAAGGAGTTTGGGTATATTTACAGTTTGTGGCGTCATCTATCGGGAAAGTAGGAGTGTACTACCTACATATATATATATTTCTACACGAATGCAAATACGAAAGATCTCATTATTCTGTACTACCTATCTCTTATTTTCAGAAGTGTTTGCCAAATTTTAAGATTTAGTATAAGTAAACACTATAGTCTAAGACACTGGTCTAGATGTCCGATGTCGTTCGTTGCGCTATCATGAACAAAGGTCAGCACATGCAATCAATGAATGCCATGATCCGGTTCCCCTTAGGATAGCCTCAACAGAATGAAACATTGACACTCTGTCCACCTCAAACGGGGAGCGAACAAGATGGCAGAAATCTGCCGGGATATATTATACATCGCAAGAAAAGAAAAAAAAATCATCGAGGAACGTTGATCTCGTAGCCCAGCAAAACCTCGGTGGTATTGCCTTCCCAGCCTCTATTACCACTTGTCGAGATCATAAAACGACAAGCCTGATCAATATATAGTTGTGATATAGTCCCGGTGCGGTGCCCAGGGATGATGAGAAAAGGTACAGTGGAATGGCGGCTGACTTGTTCGTGTTTCAAATCGTACAGTCGAAGAATATCATGCGACGCACTGGAACAATTGGTCAGCCAGATCTCATGATGGTAAGGGACAAAAATACCGTATTAGCTAACGAGGAAAGATAGAAATACTACTCACCAGACAATATGTCGCCCATTGGGCATCGCCTTGAGCGCCGTCACCGGTCCACTGCCCTGGGGAAATTTGAAGGTCCTCTCAGGCTCTCGTAGACCTTTATGGAGACTGAATTCCTCCACAGTTCCATTTCGACGCCCTGCATAGATATAATTCCCGTCCGGAGACCAGCATGCATTCATGCACCATGGTGGAGAGTTGTAGGGTGTGATCCGAGCAACGGGGTCTGCTTGCCGTCTGTCCCATATTCTGATTGTGCCGTCGATGGATGCGGCAAGAAATGTGTGGTCTGTTACTACATTCGACCCCTGCTGTGTTGATGCAGCAGACTCCTGGGCCTGTGAAGGTGGTTTTAATTCTTCCGCGTGTGGTAGACCGTTCGTCACTGGTTGCGACGAAACGTTTAGAAGATTAGTCTCCAGAGGTTCGCTCTTTGGGTTCGTCATGGTAGCGTCTGAACTTGCGTTGCCCTCTGCAGTCCCATTTTGCTGATCCATCACGTCAGGCTCGCCGTGTGCATCTGCATCTGCATCGGCATCGGCATCCGGAAGAATGCCGTTGGCAAGAGCTTTGCCGAACTCATCATCCTCGTCTATTCCAAACGCATTTCCCGATGCACCCCCACCTTCACCACCCCCGCCATCTGCATCTCCGAACAGTGAATCGGCGCCGCCAAAGAGTGAATCTGCCGGGGATCCCGCCTGCGGGTTTGCAGCAGCGCCACCTTCACCTAATTCGTTCGATGTATCCATGTAATTGAAGCTGTCAGTTCCGCTTGCATGGTAGTTTGATGAGTAGGTGCCATTCGTCTGAGGCAGCTCTGATGTGTCTTTTGGAACAGGAACTGCGGATTCTGGCCGAATCTCGATCGCCGCGATTTGCCTAGCGCTGGCACCAAAGACACGCCGCGTCTGTCCTGTATTCAAATCCCAGTCAAACACTCGCTTGTCCCAACTACCAGATAGCAATGACTTCTCGTCTGGGGTCAGATGCAGTACCGAGACGGCCGAAGTATGCTGTTGCAGGAGAGCAATCTCTTTCCCCTCATCATGACGAACTGACTGCAGACGGATACTGCCTGACTCCAACCCCGATAATAACCATAGGCCTTCGCTATGGCTGGCTAGGGAATAGACTGGTGACACTGCGTTCCCATCCATGCACTCCCAATATGTCATCAACACGCCCGCCTTCATTACGCTATCGACGAAGGGATGTCGTTGCGCCACGGTCAGCATCAATTTGCTGTTGATCGAATCCACCCAATTGAACTTTCGCACATATCCATCAGACCCTCCGCTAAACACCCATCGCATGTCGGCTGTCGCTGTTACTGCATTTATCGATGTACTATGGGGTGCGGCCGTGGTCGGTACTATGTCGTAAGTGGATGCTGTTAGACAATCCGGACGAACTGGAGGGTGAAAGACGGAGGTCAAGTCGGATGTGATGTTTGTGGAGTCAGGGGAGGTCATTGGGATATCGGGATTCGCTTGAG